TTTTTGGGTGTGCTTTAAGTGTGGGCAAGGACACAGGGGCCCCATGATCCCCTACTGCCTGGGGGCCCCATGAGTGGGCACTGTCTCTGCATAAAGTGAGCAAGTACAGACCTGTTATCCGCCTGTTCTGCTCTGATCAGCAGGTGATCGGGGGACAGATCCCCTGCTGATCATAACAAGGTCCGCCCCGCGTGAAAAGGGGCCTATTGCTACATTCACTTGGACGTAAAAATCTTATTGATCTTATTACGCATATTTTTTTTCTAGCAAAAAGGATCTTGCGTAATGATCAGTAAATACTTACATAAAACTGACATCTTTTTTTTGTTCCAATACCTGCATCTGCCCTACATGTTAATGTATGTCCTCAGATGCACATTTTTGGATTTTGTGATAAAGATCTGAACGCAGTGAATGTTTAAACACCGTACAGAGCGTGACGTCATTCGCACCGCCTGAGCCACGACGAGGCTCGGCGGACATCTTTACTAGGGTCAGTTATTGCTACCTTATCCTTATTTAACCTTTATGGGTCTGGATCTGCATGCTACCCTGTATTTTATGCTAAGGCAAATAAATCTTCTTAAACATACTACACTATCTCTGGCACCTGTGTTCTTTCTGGGGCTCCTTTGTGGAGCTACTACCCCCACAGAAAAGGTGCCACTACCATTCAAAGGAGAGAGTCTCACCACCAATGTGAAGTGCCTGATTGACCTTAAAGGGGACCTCAGGATCCGGCTTTGAGTCTTCGGTGACCCACCGTGAGAGGGATGCTCGCCATCTGAATGTTGGAGGATCTGACATCTGAAATGATTATTCCTACATGCGCATAACCCATGCGTTTCTGGTGAGTGCGCATTGCTATTATTTAAGGCCGCAAGAGCTTTGGAAGTTTGCACCCTCTATAAGAAACCACGGATATTATTACATTGACTTTTGATTGTTTTCAGTTTCATTCTTTTAGCGCTGCACCATATTACCTTCGTTTATATTTACATTTAAAGGCATTGTGGTTGCCTTAGGTGCTCTAGCTGCTGTGTTTATATAAGAGCGCTCACTATTATCCACTTTTGTCGTTTGTCAATGTTTAAACACCTGTGTGAATGTCTCCATGGAAAACAATGCAGCTGTGTCGGCTCAAAAATCAACGCTCAGAAATGCTCAACAAGTAAAATCCCATTATTTCCAATGGACCCTGTTAACACTTGTTGTGTTCCCTGTGGCAACATGCCTGTTGCTCAAAAAATTATTTGTGCTACTTTTCAGACAGATCTGGGCGTTTTTTCCCCATAGACTTAAATCGAAAATGCCTGAACAATGGAAATGAGCATTTTTTCAGGCATTTTCAGCTCAAATAGCAGATATTTCTATTGGCCACAGCAAAAAACACCTAAATGAAAAAAGCCTGAAAAAAACACCTATATTTGCAAATTTGCTAAAAAAAAAACCACTCAAAATGCCTGAAAAAACGCTTGAAAAAACACCCAAAAAATGTTCAGTGCAGTGTGAATGTAACCTGAGTGACAGGCGTTTTGCTACACGCCACAGAACATTCAAGTGTGAACAGGGGCCATTGGAAATAATGGGATTTTACTTGTTGAGTTTCTTCAAGTTGAAAAACGCTCAGCTCAGTGTGAATGTAGCATGAGCATTTTTTCAGGTATTTTCAGCTCAAACAGCAGTTATTTCTGTTGGTCACAGTAAAAACGCCTAAATGAAAAAGCCTGAAAAAATGCCTATAATATTTGCAAATCTGCTAAAAAAAATGCTCAAAATGCCTGAAAAAAAACGCTTGAAAATACACCCAAAAAAATGTTCAGCTCAGTGTGAATGTAGCCTGAGTGACAGGCGTTTTGCTACAGGTGACAGAACGTTCAAGTGTGAACAGGGGCCATTGGAAATAATGGGATTTTACTTGTTGAGTTTCTTCAAGATGAAAAACGCTCAACTCAGTGTGAATGTAGCATGAGCATTTTTTCAGGTATTTTCAAACAGTTCAGACAGCAGATGTTTCTATTGGCCACAGCAAAAATGCCTAAATGAAAAAAAACTGAAAAAATGCCTATAATATTTGCAAATCTGCTCAAAAAAAACACTCAAAATGCCTGAAAAAAACACTTGAAAAAAAACATTCAGCTCAGTGTGAATGTAGCCTGAGTGACAGGCGTTTTGCTACAGGTGACAGAACACTCAAGTGTGAACAGGGGCCATTGGAAATAATGGGATTTAACTTGTTGAGTTTCTTCAAGATGAAAAACGCTCAACTCAGTGTGAATGTAGCATGAGCATTTTTTCAGGTATTTTCAGTTCAGACAGCAGCTTTTTCTATTGGCCACAGCAAAAACACCTAAATGAAAAAAGCCAGAAAAAAATGCCTATAATATTTGCAAATCTCAAAAAAACACTCAAAATACATGAGAAAAAAAACACTTTGAAAAAACACCCAAAAAACGTTCAGCTCAGACTGAATGTAGCCTGAGTGACAGGCGTTTTGCTACAGAAGACAGAACACTCAAGTGTGAACAGGGCCATTGGAAATATTGGGATTTTACTTGTTGAGTGTTTCTTCAAGCTGAAAAACGCTGAAGTGTGAACGGGGTCTCACTATTTTGTAGACGCAGCTGCACGCATAGCCCCCATTGATTCCTCTAGTATTGCTTTTTGATGTGTACAAAATGATTTGCAGCATTTTAGACGCCCATGTGAATGAGACCTGCAGGGTGAAGACCTATAATCAGGCTGAGCTGATGACGCCTGCTTTGTTCGTATTAGATGAGAGGCATTCCTGTTTTTTTTCAAACAGGGCAAACAAGTTGAGCTCAGCAGATGAGCGTTGTCTGCAAAGATCATTGAACACAGTGCTTTCTGTGATGACAAGAGGCACGTGACACACTAGTGCCCTCCCTGCTTGTGATTGGCTGGGGCGCTGCTGTCGTCCAATAGGAAATCAGGGAGCGCAGAGAGTGGCGAGCTCCCACTGACAAAGAGCTCAGCCCAGCTGTCATGCCCGTCTCTTCCCTCCCGGCCGGACAAGCATGCAGTACCTCCACGTCCCCCTCATATCCAATCCCAGAGGCCGATCATTAGGATCGATCAGCCCATACAGTCCCAGATCGTGGAAATCCGATCCCCTGTCCCATATACCCGCCTATAGACATCGGTCACATACACTCTCGATATTCCTGACTAATGATCAGCTCCTTTGTGTTATAAGGAATGAACACGGTACAGACATCGTGCTAGTAAAGGTTATCCTGTGTCTGCCCCCCCCCCCCCCGTCTATGATGGGGGCCCCTCCTCCATCCCCAGCTGTCCACAACCCTACAAGGTGGGGGGGGGGGGGGGGGGGGGGGTCGTGCTGCTCCTTAACCCCTGCGGTGCCGGTGTGGAGTGGGCCAGCTGTCAGGGAGAAGCCCCATTACCTTGTCTATGGTGCCCGGCAGAAGCCTCTCCAGCAGCCTGCACAGCACCACTCCGTCCTTCAATGACGTCTGCAGGAAGCCCTCCGGGTCGGAGATCGTCTTCTTGGGGGACTCCAGCACCCCGAGTGTGATGAGCCATGTCACGGTCTGCTCCGCCGAATTCATGGCTGTACAGAGCGAGGGGGGCAGGGGCGGCCGACCCCCCCAAATCTAGCCCCTTCCCCCCTCTTCTATGGGTGAGTGTTGGGCTGCCTGTGCTGTCCCCGCGGATCACATTGAGCTGGGCTCGGGCTAGGCTGTGTGTGGTTGATCCCTCCTTTCTTGGGTAGATGCAGAGGATGACGCCTCGATGCTGTAGGAAATGCAGCAGGTCCGCTCCCTCGGCCCCCCTCCTCCTCCTCCTCCCCCCCCTCCTCCTATTCCTGGCTCTCCCTCTTCCCCCCTCTTTCTTTCATCGCTCGCCTCTCTGGCAGCCTGTCAAGTGCCTTCTGATTGCACACACAACCTGCAGTGCCGCTTCACTACACAGCTCACTACTGGATGGACCGGCCTTCTTTGTCAATGAAACCTCCTCTCCATCACTGCAGGGGCAAGCAGGCTGCAGCTGGCATCAAGTGTGGCCCCTGGCATCACCAAAGGGCCAGATATAATACTCACTGTGGTCATACTATATATGATATACTAGAGTAGGTGGTCATAGACTGAGGACATGGTATACTATAAGGGATGGCTAGAGACTGAGGACATGGTATACTATAATGAATGGCTAGAGACTGAGGATATGGTACAAGGGGTGGCCAGAGACTGAGAACATGGTACAAGGGGTGGCCAGAGACTGAGAACATGGTACAAGGGGTGGCCAGAGACTGAGGACATGGTACAAGGGGTGGCCAGAGACTGAGGACATGGTACAAGGGGGTGGCCAGAGACTGAGGACATGGTACAAGGGGTGGCCAGAGACTGAGAACATGGTACAAGGGGTGGCCAGAGACTGAGGACATGGTACAAGGGGGTGGCCAGAGACTGAGGACATGGTACAAGGGGTGGCCAGAGACTGAGGACATGGTACAAGGGGTGGCCGGAGACTGAGGACATGGTACAAGGGGTGTCCGGAGACTGAGGACATGGTACAAGGGGTGTGGGGAGACTGAGGACATGGTACAAGGGGTGTCCGGAGACTGAGGACATGGTACAAGGGGGGTGGCCGGAGACTAAGGACATGGTACAAGGGGGTGGCCGGAGACTGAGGACATGGTACAAGGGGTGGCCGGAGACTGAGGACATGGTACAAGGGGTGGCCGGAGACTGAGAACATGGTACAAGGGGTGGCCGGAGGAGACTGAGGATATGGTACAAGGGGTGGCCAGAGACTGAGGACATGGTACAAGGGGGTGGCCAGAGGATGAGGACATGGTACAAGGGGTGGCCAGAGACTGAGCACATGCTACAGGGGAATGCCAGAGACTGAGGACATGCTACAGGAGATGGTCATAGACTGTGGAAACGATACAAGGGGTGGTAAGAGACTGAGGACAAGTTACAGGAGATGGTCAGAGATTGGCATGGTACAAGGGGTGGCCATAGACTGAGGACATGCTACAGGGGAATGCCAGAGACTGAGGACATGCTACAGGAGATGGTCATAGACCAGGGGCGGACTGACAACTCATGGGGCCCCCGGGCAATAGGGGATCATGGGGCCCCTGTGTCCTTGCCCACGCTCAAAAAAGTCTATAAAAAAGGTATCAGGGGCATTTCATGGGGCCCCCTACTGACCCCGAATGGTCAGTCCGCCCCTGTCATAGACTGAGGTCACACTACAGGAGGTTGGCATAGACTGGGGACATGGTACAAGGGATGACTAGAGACTGAGGACATGGTAAAGGGGGTGGCCAGAGACTGAGGACATGGTACAAGTGGTGACCAGAGAATGAGGACATGCTACAAAGGGTGGCCAGAGATTGAGGACATGTTACATGAGAAAGCCAGGGACTGAGGATATGATACATGGGGTGGCCAGAGACTGAACACATGCTACAGCAGATGGTCATGGACTGAGGATATGGTACAAGGGGTGCCCAAAGACTGAGAACATGGTACAAGGGGGTGGCCAGAGACTGAGGATATGGTAAAAGGAGTGCCTAGAGACTGAGGACAAGGTACAAGGGGGTGGCCAGAGACTGAGGACATGGTACAAGGGGGTGGCCAGAGACTGAGGACATGGTACAAGGGGGTGGTCAGAGACTGAGGACATGGTACAAGATGTGCCCAGAGACTGAGGACATGGTACAAGGGGTGCCTAGAGACTGAGGACATGCTACAGGGGAAGGCTAGAGACTGAGGACATGGTACAAGGGGTGGCCAGAGACTGAGCACATGCTACAGGGGAAGGCCAGAGACTGAGGACATGCTACAGGAGATGGTCATAGATTGAGGACATGATACAGGAGATGGTCATAGACTGAGGACATGTTACAGGGGGTGGTCAGAGATTGAGGTCATGGTACAAAGGGTGGCCAGATACTGAGGACATGCTACGTGAAAAAGCCAGGGACTGAGGATATGATACAAGGGGTGGCCAGAGACTGAGGGCATTTTACAGGGGATCTTCAGAGACCAGGGACATGCTAAAGGGGATGGCCAGAGACTTTAGGAGGCCAGAGACTGCAAACATGCAGGAGATTTTTGATATTCCTCTTGAAGAAGGATTTGTGTATAAAAAGGTTAATGAGACAATAATACAGAAAATAAAGACAAATTTAATGGGCAGTACAGAAGAAGAATATGAAAGGTATAAAACAAACCAGAAATCAGTCTATTAGTATTTTACATTACTTGTGCTGAGTCAAGAAAACAGCTGATGGGGCCTGTAGGCCACACAGTACGCATCATAGGGCTGTGTGTAGACCTCAGGTCACTGGGTAGAGCACCTACGGGGCTAGAGGCTTACATACTCCAGTGCTATAGAATTATAGGCTTTTGGGTGAATATAGGATTTGGGCTCGAATGGGAAATTTGAGGGATAGAGGATTTTCATAATGCACATAGATCTTGGGTGGGGTGCAGTTTGGTATGTTTTCCCTGGGCTCTGAATGACCTTGTCCCACCACTGTATACAGTTGCTACACATGCCATATACTAATTGAATATTATTAAAAATTAAATTTCCTTTGCAATCTGCAGCGCTGTAATTTTCTGTAAAATTCAAAACAATGGGGGAGATTTACTAAAACTGCTGCAGCTGTGCATGGTAGCCAATCAGCTGCTAACTTCAGCATGTTCAGTTAAGCTTTGACAATAAAACCTGGAAGCTGATTGGTTTCTATGCTGAGCTGCACCAGATTTAGCACCATGCAGTTTTAGTAAATAATCCCAAATGTGGCAACCTGTAGGCCTTCTGTACACAGTTGGTGTATGGAACACCCCCAGAAATATAATTTCCTGCTTGCGCTATTGGCTTACTGATTTTCCCAGAAGTTAACATTAAATACAAGTAAAATTTTAGGCATCTTCTGCAATAGGAATTATATTTTTGGTGAGATATTCCCTAAGGTTTAGTTATGTCTAAAGGGATGCAGACACTGCAACTTTCCTCATTAGAACATGGCAAGTGCCGAGTTCCAAGGACATAGTGGGATATACAGTTTTTGATTAATAACAGAAACAGTTAGGAATCTACTACAACGCTTGTTAAAATCCCTGCATCGTACATGGGTCACCCAGAAATTGATTTTTTTTTCTCAACAAAAGTGCCTTCAACATTTGGGTATTTTGGCATTTTGTTTGTTGGGGGGGGGGGGGGGGGGGGTGGCAGATACCTGGTTTTGACAGAAGTTTGCCCACTGCTTTTTGGGACATGTCACAGATCCCAGAAGGCTGCAGGATGATTCACACAACACAGTGCAGCTCACGCATGGCAGCGGGAAGCCAGCTGAAAAGCCGCAAGGAATTACAGTTGGCTTTCCACAGTAGCTTGGGGGCACCGGAGACTCGCAGACTGGTGAAGAATTGGTATGGTTGAGGACAGTGCTGGATCCATGGACAGATAAGTGTCCTTGTATCAAAAGTCAGCAGCTACAGTAATTGTAGCTGCTGACTTTGACATTTTTTTTGGGGGGGGGACTGAAGAACTGCTTTAAAGCAGAGCTCCACCCAAATGGGGAAGTTCCGCTTTAATGCTTTGTCCCCTGCTCCCCATTTGGGGAGCAAGTACCCGAATTTGACAGATACCCGCTCCCACTTCCGCTGCAATCACCTTGGCGATCAGAAGCGGATGTTGTCTTCCCTCCCTGTAGTCTTCTGGGACATGTGACAGGTCCCAGAAGACTACGGGGCCATTCACAAAGCACACTGCTTCTCGCATATGCGCAGTGTGAACCCGGCTGTAAAGTTGCCAGCTGTCACAGCCGAGTGCCCACAATAAAGATGCTGGCACTGGGGAGAGAAGATGGCGGGTGAAACCAGCCGTGGTGAGGACACTGCTGGACCGAGGGACAGGTGAGTATTTTAAAAGTCAGCAGCTACAGTTTTTGTAGCTGCTGACTTCTATTTTATTTTTTCAGCTGGAGCTCCGCTTTAAGCTACATAGAAGTAAAGTGATACTTAGCATTGTCTTGCATTAGTATTAAAACATCCTAAATGGATGATATCTGAATATAATATAATCTATTTTAGTAAAAAAAAAATTAAATTAGTCTGAAATATTTTCATTTTATACATACTGTATGGTACTAAATTCCAACACCCTACATTGGAACACTATTTGTGTACTAAATGCTGCTCTAAAAATGCTCTACCAAACACCTAAAACTATATAATGATCCATCTAAAGTGCAGATAGTGCACCACAAAAAACTTAAATCAATTTTAAAGTTAAATTAATTGTGAAAAAATATCCATATACAAAGTAGATATAAAAAGTCTACACGCCCCTGTTAAAATGTCAGGTTTCTGTGATGTTAAAAAAATGAGACAAAGATAAATAATTTCAGAACTTTTTCAACATTTAACATGACCTATAAACTGTATAACTCAATTTAGCAACAAACTGAAATCATTAAAGGGGGGAAGTAAACATAAAAAACTAAAATAATATCGTTGCATAAGTGTGCACACCCTTAAACTAATACTTGGTTGAAGCACCTTTTGATTTTATTACACCACTCAGTCTTTTTGTTTATGAGTCTATCAGCGTGGCACATCTTGACTCTCCCTTGCAAAAACACTCCAAATCTGTCAGATTGCGAGGACATCTCCAGTGCACAGCCCTCTTCATACCACCCCACAGATTTTCAAATCTCTGTCTAATTTTTTTACATCACAGAAACCTAACAGGGGTCTGTAGACTTTTCATATCATATATATATATATATATATATATATATATAAAACAACACCAACAAAATAGAATTCCTATGCAAACTGTGTAAAAGCTATGTCTAATCACAAGCTGCTATGTATAAAAACTGTGTATAATCACAAGCAACAGTGTGTCCAGGCGTAAACATACAGTATTTGTAAGAAATAAAATATTTGTAAGAAATATGTGTACAATCACGTTTGTTACATTTTGTTACTGTTTGAGAGACTTTATTTTTCATGAATATTTTAATGCACAGACACAATGCTGCTAGTATACACAATTTATATACATTGTTGCTGGTGATTATACAGTTTTTTTTTGCAGTTTGAATTGCAAAGTTGTTGCTATAAGTTTTTTTCACAATTAATTTAATGGGAATTACTTAAAGTTTTCATAGTTACACTATTTACTTTTTAATTGGATCTTTATACGTATGATGTCAGTGCTGAGGCAAAGCCAGCAGAATGACATCAAATATCTTGCACGTGGACACATAGCAGCTGCTGTGTGCTGAAGTGTAATATTCTTGGTGCTTTCCTGTGATCTGGGAGCATTGACGTACATCTGCCAATACTAGTGAATGGCCTACACGGCCATGCTCAGGTAAATGCAGCTTGCATGCATACAGCATTTCTCCCCAAATGTGAAAGTGGCACACTTGGGGAGAAATACCATATACACATGCACATTCAAGCACAGCTGCATGCAGCCATTAATTTGTATTGCCAGCTGTACACAGCAGATGCGTCTTTCTGGGCATGTGGGATTTTATGCTTCAGCAAACATGAGCTGCTAAATGTCCATGTGTACGAGGCCTTTGGTAGCACTAAGGGCCCTTTTACACTGATCCATTTTTGATCCATTTTTGGGTTTATAAAAAGTGGGTGAAAAATGCATGAAAAATGTATCACTTTAAAGTGTTAATAAACCCACAACAGTAAAATCAGTCTGTATATGCAGTAAAGCATGCTAGTTATACTCACCGTGGAACCTAAGGGGTTAATGCTCTGCATTGTGTAAAAACACTGTTTGATCCTGACTTCTCCGATCCTCCCCTTCTTCCAATGCCCCCCTCTTATTTTTCAACAAGACATATCCTGTGGAGTCACTCTGCACATGCTCAGTTTGGTGTGTATTGCTAGAGAGGTTTTTTTTTTCTTGGGTGAGTGCATGTGATCAGCACAGGGCCAATCAGCACTGACCAGACAGAGGTCAGGGGTTCTGCATCCTGCTA